AATTAAGCTCTTGAATGAGCAAAGTGAAGGAGTTTACTTCGTAATTTATATGAAGTTGGTTGAAAAAAGCATATTCACATGTATTGTGATATAATATAAACCGTTCTTAAAGGCGACCCTCATCTCACTGAAAGTGTGTATAAAGTAATATTTCATAACAATTTCATATTATTTACTTAGTTTTCCTGATGTAGCCAAATTAGACACTTAGACAAGCCTTATCTTCTTTATATTATGTATGAAGTAATATTTCATAATCAAAAGCGTTCCCATTTAATAAAAGCTCTCTATGTATATGATTGATAACAAAGAAGTGAGCCTGGATATGTCATATATACTATATATAGCCTGGATAAGGTGTGCACCTTTATGATTATAGCAGTGATTTATCTCAGAAATAATTTGCATAATAATTAATAATTATTTTCTGGACTACCTTGGCCTATTTTCGAATTACCTTCATAATTTCTTTAGTAATACCTTTCAAGAATTTTCTCTGATTTTCCATATAATAGTTCTTAGAGTTTTACAAATTCTTCTTTTACAAATAAAGTGATTGTATAACTTTATCCTTGAAATTTTATAAATAAAGTCGATGTTAATTTAGTTCAGAACTGCAATCTTATTTATGTATATTAATGCAGTTTAATCTTGTAACCACATCAACAAAATATTTCTTTGTTGTTTTTCGCTATTAATTTTATCAACTTCAATATGTGAACTGTGTCGTAAGATAATATATTTTGTATATTTTTACACAAACTTTATCAAGGTTTTTGTTTATATTTAGTTTTTGATACAGAACACATATATATTATTGCCTAAGTAAATAAATAAAGTTGCCTAACGTTATTGTGGTGGATTTGGGTTAGATGAAAAGTATTTGTGGTTTTTGTCACTAGATGGTGCTGTTATAAATCCGACACGAATCCGATTATATCAAAATAACATTTATTTGACGGGTTCAGGCTACATTGTTCTTAAAGGCAGTTGTATAATAAGTCGCTTGTGTAAAAATTTGTATTAATTTGAAAATGAAAGAAATATCTGAAGAAATACGCTATGTGATGCTTTATTCCTATAAAAGAGATGAAACTGCTACAAAAATATAGCGAACAATTTATGTGGTTTCCGGTAAGGATGCCATGAGTGAATACCAGAAACAGCAGTGGTTAGCTTGATTCCGCTCTAGAAATTTTGATTTCAACAAAATTGAACATTAAAAAAAGTCAATGACATTTTGCAACAGTTAGAGCAAGACCTATCAGAAGACAGAGAAGATACTATATATCAATCATATGTTAGTTTCTATCTTACTTCATCCTCTACTGCTCACAAATTGACTGTTTGAATGAAACAATTCAGGAAAAGTGTTCAGAACTCGCCAACGAAGAAGGAGGTGTGCTCCAACATGACAACTACAAGCATGTGATGACTTGGAACAAATTGATGGAACTTGGTTGGGAAGTTTTTATGCATCCGTAGACTTGAACAAGTTTTTCGCCGACAAACTACAGAAGTTTTGCATCGATGAATTATGAAAATGGCAAAAGGTCATTAATAGCAATGGCTTGTATAAATTTTACTAAAATTAATTTTCAATAAAGAAACTATATTTTAAATGATGTCAAGCACAAAGAATTATTTAAAAATATATATTATTAAAAATATATATACATAAATAAGATCATAAATAATGGTATTAAAAATCTTTTGCTCTTGTTCCTGAAACATTCAGAGAGAAATTCATATATTGCAATTTTTACAGATTTCATACATAGTTTTTAACAGTTTATTAAAGCATTATTGCAGCACTATTTTATATAAAATAAAACATAACTTTGAATCTGCAATTCTTTAAATAGTGTAATTTGTTTAATATAATATAACTTCTATTTGGTTACAGTGTTCATAGGCTATCTTTACGTTCAAAATCAATGTGAAAATTGACTTTTTTCTATTTCCCTAGGCTATGTTTATATGTATACCAGTAGTAGCATGTTCTAGGAGATAGAAAAAATAGTGGGACAGAGACTTTTTTTAAATCTAAACCAAAGATATTATTTGATTTTACAATGTCATCACATCTTAGTCACTGACTGAACCAGTTAGTCTGTTTCTGTGAAACAGGCTTGAACTCTGAGTATTTTATTATAAAAACAGTGCTCAGAAAGCAATTGCGTTATTTTGATCTTACAGTAAAAATTGACTTTTGTTCTATTGTTCTACTTTCTATGACTATACTTATGTTATATCAGTGGTAGTTTGTCCCAAGAAAAGGGAAAAGTAGTGGATCAAAGTCATTTTTCAAATGTACGCCAAATATATTTTTTTACTTCTCCACTGTATAGTACCCATATATTGGCCAATGAGTGAGTAAATGCTAGTATTTTACTGTAAAAGCTATGCACGAGGAGCCATTGTATATGTATTAACTTGTGGTCACAGTGGAGATTGACTTCTGTTTTATTATTCAACTTTTCTTGGCTATACTTATGTGTGCACCTTATATGTGTGGTAGGTTCTTTCAAGAGAAATAATATGGTAGAGCCCTTTTTAAATGTTTGACAAAGATTTTGTTCTATTCTCATAATATTCTCAGATCTAGACCACTAAGTGAGCTGATCTTTCCGCAAGACATGTTACCAGTTTCTTTCCCATTATTTTATTATAAAACCAGAGAGTCAAACTACTTCTCTTAATTCTTCTATTACCCTTGGCTATGTTTATGCGTATACCAATGACTACTAAGTGAGCCGATCTTTCAGCTAGACGTATTGCCGTTTACGTTTGCTGTTTTTTTATTATGAACCCGGGGTGATAAAGTATTTCTATTAATTCTTCTACTTCCCTTTGCTATGTTTATGGTTATACCAGTGGCTACTAAGTGGGCCGATCTTTCAGCTAGATATGTTGCCGGTTGCGTTCCTGTTTTTTTTATTATAAACCCGGGTAACTAAACTACTTCTGATAATTCTTCTTCTACCCTTAGCTATGTTTATGCGTATACCAGTGGCTACTTAGTGAGCCGATCTTTTAGCTAGACGTGTTGCCGGTTACGTTCAAGTTTTTTTATTATAAACCCGGGGTGCTGAAGTACATCTATTAATTCTTCTACATCCCTTTGCTATGTTTATGCTTATACCAGTGGCTACTACGTGAGTCGATCTTTCAGCTAGATATGTTGCCGGTTGCATTCCTGTTTTTTTATTATAAACCCGGGGAACTAAACTACTTCTGTTAATTCTTCTATTTCCCTTAGCTATGTTTATGGTTATATCAGTGGCTACTTAGTGAGCCGATCTTTCAGCTAGACGTGTTGCCGGTTACGTTCAAGTTTTGTTATTATAAATCCGGGGAGCTAAAGTACTTCTATTAATTCTTCTATATCCCTTTGCTATGTTTATGCTTATACCAGTAGCTACTAAGTGAGCTGATCATTCAGCTAGACGTGTTGCCGGTTGGTTCAAGTTTTTTTACTATAAACCCGGGGAACTGAACTTCTTCTGTTAATTCTTCTCCTACCCCTTGTTATGTTTATGTATACACCAATATATACAAAAAGTCTCAACAGTCTTAGTCAGATCTTATGTATACTGATTCATTGTGATATTTTAAAAACCTGTGAATATAATTTAAGCTATCAAATTTAAAATCATAATTTTAATATGTTATCTTGACATGACCTATGTTTTTAAGAGTTTCTGGTGTCGCCGTATAATATTACAATGAACTGTAAATGAATATTTCTGTTGCTATTCGATATTTATCTGAGTTAAGTACGTGATTTATTTATCAGAAATTTGCATACGCAAGCAACTTATCCACCGGTTTCTATTACTATAACAACACTGAAGAAAAAACAATCAATTATTTCATTTATAGATATTATAAAAAGTGCATGAAATTAGCTGAAAGCAACTACTTCAGTACTTCAATACTTCAATATGTTTGGAAATGTATATAGATACATTTTGTCCACACATTCTGTAGCTACTGACATACTCACGTCCACGCAGTGAAAAAATGCACTACTCAGGAACGCGACTTCGAGCTGGTGTGCAATGAATCAGTCTTCGACGAGTAAAGTACGAGGCTTGTGTGAGTTATGAATGACTGGCCGAAGTCGACACCGCACAGCTGAGCGTGCGGTAAGGCGGTAAGTTCAGCTCAGTACTGCACGTACGTCTCAGTAGTGCGTTGGAGTTTATTTCGAATTTAGTTGCCGGCGAGTTCGAATCGTACGGATTGTGTCGCGGTATACGATATACGTTTTGTGGTTGTCGTTATTGTTGTTGCTGTTTTTTATTATTAAATAAAAATAATATCTACAACAGAGATATAGTGAATACAAAAAATAAATAAATTGAAAGTATTTAAAATGTGTTGATAATATTAAATAAATAAAGGTTTTTCTTAAGAAAACTACAGCAAAATCAGTACGAATAAAATTAATTATAATTTATTTTTCTCTAAGAAAAATATTCTTCCCTTCCATTGTTATAAGTTTGATTGCATTTAAAATTATTGTGTGTATATAATCTAAATAAAACCGATTAGTAGACTGAAATGCTTATATGCATTCAATATAGAAAAACGCATTTAAAACGAATTTCATCGACGGCGTCCGTGCGGCGCATACGCAATTTTTGCGTCGAATAGTGCGTGTTGCACTTCGAAAAGTGACCGGAAAAATAGCTTAGCACATTTATGGCTTATATGGCTTAATTCATAGGAAAACTAAAACGTTGCCTTAGATTAAATTGCATCTAATAAATATCTAACTTCAGTTTTCTACACAGCAATTTTATATTAAAAACAAATTAAAATAAAAAAAAATAATATTAAAAAAAAAAAAATATTAAAAAAAAAATAATATTAAAAAACAAATAATATTAAAAAAAAAAATAAAAAAAAACATATTACGAATATATATGTATACTAAAAAAAAATATAATTAATTTAATTTGATTTAATTTAATTCCGTCTTTAATTTCATAATAAACGAAAATTGCTTGTGGTTTTCATTCTCAAGAAAGCGAAATTATAATTTACGAGTATCTTTAAGTGTTAAATAAAAAACAAAAAGAAGGAAAAGAAGAAAGAAAAATATTATTGTGTGAAAAATTATTATTTTTTCTTCTTTCGTATAAGAGTGCCAAAGTGCGTAAAAGTGTAAAATGTACCGGCAAATTGCATTATTCCTATTTGTGCTCTGCAGTCTACAACGGATGTCACACACATTCAATTATGCACCCCTGCCCAATTTGGTTATTAATTCCCCACAGAATTTGAGATTCTTTCAACCGCAGTGGCGTAGTTCATATTTTGGCTATACCATCGTACTCCGTGGATCGAAGTAAGTATAGCAAATATTACTAATTATAATTATAGAGAAATTTTTATAAATCTTTTATCAATATAAAGAAAAATCATCTCTTGAAACTGTAGAAAGATACTTCTTTAGGATATTGAAGTACGAAATTAATCAATATTTAGTAAAAAGTAATAGATTTCACACAAGATATTTAAATATTACTAAAGAAACTAGAGCAGTAGTTCCCAACTAATGGTCCTCGAGATGGTTAAATATGATCCGTGAATCAAATTTAACAGATATGATTACATAGCTTGTAGTTTATTCACTCAGACTTGTTAGAAAATAAACACAAAAATTTTGCAAATAAGTATGATACATCCGTTCTTCATTCTTCATCCATTCTAGAATTCCACTGTTGGTAAAGAAAATCCAAGCTCAAAGAGCACATTGAGCATTTTTCATATACCATATAATTTTATATATATTTTTTGTTGTTTTTATTTTTAGTGCATATTACTTAAACGAACATGTAGAAGTTTCTAATAAAGCATTATAAAATATCCATACAGTTTATTATTCTTAAACTTTATAACAAAAATATCATAGTGCTAATTGGTCAAAAAAATGTTGGCAACCACTGATCTAGAATATATAATAAATATACATTGGTACTACTATCAATAGTGCTTACTAAAAATCCATATTCTCAAAATAAATAACATTTTGATCACAATATTTTTTAGTATTATTAGAGAATTTAGAATATATAATAAATATATCTTGATACTACTATCGATAATGCTTACTATTGCTAATCCATACACGTATACTTGAAATAAGTTGGCGATACGAATATGAAATGTTTAAGTTTTAGTTGAAAATTATTATAATTTATTTTTGAAAATAACCTCCTTTAATTTTAATATGTTTAGTCCATTAGTGTTCCAATTTCTTTAAACTACATTTGCAATGGTTTTTCAATTTATTCTTGTAATTTAAGGTAGCTGCCTTTATAGTGTATTTCTTAATTTCAATACCTTTATACTAACAGTCTACCAATTTTTTGAAACTATGTTTATAATTGTTTTCCGATTTATTCTTCAAATTTATGAAAGCCACCTTTATAGTGTATTCCTCAAATTCAATATAATTATACTCCAGTCTTCCAATTTTTTGAATTACGTTTACAATGGCTTTCCTAAATGGCTCTTCCACTGTTTAAAATTTTTTTTCCACCAAGAAAACTTTTTGACGTTTTAGAAGAACCAGAAATTAGAGTGTATACTCGATCTGGTAAATAGGGTAGTATTTTCAACAAATTTAGTGTAGTCTTCATTAATTTCAAAAAACTTAATCCTACAGTCTTAAATTTAATACACTTATTCCAAAAGTCTTCCAATTTATAGTAGCCATCTCTGCAGCGTCTTTCTTAATTTTACTACACTTATTTATTTCCATAGTCCTCCATTTTATGGAACGTATTTTTGTAACGGTTTTCCGAAAAGTCTAAAAACACTCTTCTACAACAACTATCATATTTTAATTTGTAAAAATCCTTGTCCACGAAAGAAACAGTTTAATGTGTAATAACAGCAGGAAGTGAGATGGAATACAATTTGGTAATAGTTTGGTACTAAACAATTTCTTCAACAATTATAGTATAATGTTTTTGAATTTCAATAGACTTATTCCAACATACAGTCTTCCAATTTATAGGAGCTGCCTGCGTAACGTTTCCCTTAACTTTAATACATTTATTCCAATAATTCTCCAATCTATAAAAGCTATCTTTGTGACGTCTTTCTTTATTTCAATACAATTATTCCCACAGTCTTCTACTTTATAAAAGCTATCCTTGTAGCCGTTTTCCGAAAGCTCTGTAAAATACTCTTCCCAACAGCTATCACTACTTCGTTTGATAATATTTGTTTCTATTAGATTTTGAATTTGTTTCTCGACATGATTTTTATTATGTTTTCTATATATTTTATATCCGGCTACAGCCCACTTTTTTTGTAAAATTCTATATATCTATATATTCTATATATGTATATATATTCTATATATATTCTATATATTCTATATTTCGACTCTCCTTGAGTATCGTCATCAGGATCACGATTTAAAATTAATAAACATAAAATAATATTAATAAAATCTAAATCCAAACGTTATGTTCTGAATTTAAGTCTCTAGCAAGCACATAGCCAGTGAAAAGGGATGGATTAAGGGACTAATTCTCGTTAGTTTATTATATCTTAATGCATACGAATATATGTCGTAAAGTAAATGAAAAAGCAATCATAAATTTAGTTCCTGACTTATGAAATAGCCCTCGTAGCACACAGCTTTTACAAAGTGTAGTTAGTTGTTTATACAAGTATATAGTAAATTATTTTCTGAAATCTAATATTCATATTATTTAAATTCATTATCTAATTTACAATATTATTTTAGTATCGCTATATTGACAGATAGTTAGGCTGCAGTCTAGACTTTGATTTCAGTCAACACAATCTACTAGTATTATTACTACAACAGCTTACCTATTTTTATTATTTATTTAGTAGAAAGCACTATACAGTGCGACCTCTAGGTGTTCTATTGCGATAAGCACAGCTGCTTTAATAAATTAAAGTACACTGAATAGATATCCTAGCCAATGATAGATAAAGACGTTTCTAAACCGCATGGACTAAATACAATCACAAACAACCAGATAATCCGTTGGTAAAGAGAATGTCCCACCAAACTAGCTCAAATGCACTGATTGAGGTTCTGGAGAGTCATCACTTAAACTAACAAACCAAGCATTACTGTAATATAGATATACTTTACAAAAATTAGAAATTATATTCGTTGATTGAATTTTTTAAGCTTAAGTAGTTTCAATATGAAGACTTGTCATTATTATTTTTACAAAAAAAAAAAATTAATAGATAATAAAGCAGTTAAATAATTTTATACAAGTTATCAAAAAAAAAGAAGGAAGCTTAAGAAAATTTTTATAAATATTTTAAGATAAATATTCTCATATAAATATTTACGAATACATACTGAAAACAACCTATAAAAAAGTATCTCAAACTTTTATGCAAACAAACAATACGCACAGCTGTCCCTCTTCCACTGACTTTAGTTAAACTTTCCGATGTTGAATTCAAATTTATCTTATAAAGAAATTTATTGTTCGTTTGTGTCGTGCATAAATTTTTTACTCAATTAAATACAATTTTGGCATTTTTATTAGAAATTAGCATAACCCAAATAAGCAATTATGTGGCGGTTGATTGTGTTCCTAACAAGAAAAAAAATTGAGAAAAAAAAATAAGATCTCTGGAAGACATAGTATTCACACAGAAGTACTCTTATTTGGGAAAATTAAATCAAGCAAAACTTAATTAGATTTAATTTAGTGTATTTCAGTTGAGTACAGAGTAATTTATCTTATATTTATTAGAAAAAGCCGAATGAAATATTTGTTACGCCTAATCTACACTTAGAGTTCTTCGCAATTATTTTGGCGACTTTCAAGCCCCAAGAATTATGTTCTCTAACCTATTCTAATTGCAAGCGATCTTCATAAGCGAAGACGCGCTGAGCTCATATCAAGAGTTTCATTGCAGTACTCATACGAGTATAGAGTATTTGTTTGAAAATAAATATCAGTTGACTTATTTGTTTATATACAATATTAAGTACTTATATAGTGTATCTGTATATTTATATGTTGTATATACTTATTTGTGGAATAATATTCCCTATCAACATACCGCTTTGACACAAATGATTGGTACGAGCGAGTATTTGAGCGGTGGCTGACCCCACTTTGATGTTGACATTGTCACAAATACTTCAAACGTTGAAATTTCTGTTATCGCATTTGCCTCATAGTTTATTAGGAAAGATCGTTTTACGGATACTTGTGTTTACTTCAGAGTTTTAGGTAAATATTTGTGTACTTTAATGTGCAGGAAAGTTAAAATATTTTAAACTACTGTTAAAAATGGTTATGGAAAAAAATGGTGTATGTTATTCCTAAAGGTGACATTCGATTGCATATATAATTTTTTTAAAATGAGTTCACCGCAATGTAAGACAAACACGGTAACCTAAATTTTAAGGTGTGATTGGAAACAGTAGAACTTAAAGTCAAATTTCAATTGAATTTTTAAAAAATTCAGTAATTCAGTCAAAATAACAGTAATTATTAATTATTAAGAAAATATATGAAGAATACACCAACAAAACATGATTTAAATAATTGGTTCTTCATACATTTATTTTGAGTATTACCAAATATCCATCATCAATGGACTTTATTATAAGGTATGCCTTTTAAAATAGAACTTAAAAAATCTTTGGTTAAATTACCACATCATATTATCACAGCACATCTACCACAATTACCACATAAAAAGAGATCCTGTGACTGTTTGCATTATAGATCTTAGGAATTTGAGATTAGGATACAGATCCTAAAGGATCGTGAGTTGATTAAGAGTGTCATTATCACAAATATAAAATATAATTTTTTTTTGTTGCTATTTCTAAATTAGCACTAAATTCTGCAGACAAAATTTTTGTATTTGTATTATTAATAATGTATATTATGCATTATAAGTATCAAAAATAAATATATTGAATATAATGAATATCTTAATCAATTTGATTTTCAAAATTTCCGATCAAATGATCACTCAATTCTTCATATAAAAATTTTATTCTATATTATTATTTATAGATTCTGGTTAAATTTTTTCAAATTCATTCCCGTATATTCCATTATTGTAAGGTCATAATATTTTAGAATTTCATTGATTCACCTATAGAGCTTTGTCTCTTGGCTTTTTTGCATCACTTTATTATTATAATTGTGTTAGCGGAATTTGCACTACGACCTAGAGAGATGTTGTTCATTCTTCATGAACTTTGAGTATATCTACAAGTTTAATTTCCTTTACAAATTGTAGTATATAACTTATATCACAGAGTTTTATTTATTAATCTAATACAATATGGAAATTTTTCTTTTATTT